AGCGAAGCGGAGTGCATTACATACGGCTATGAGTCTATGACACTTTCGTTTCTGTGGCGAATAACGACAAGCTTAGCAACAGTTGCACATTGAGACTTCAAGCATAAAACAGCTTTTAGAGAAGAATCATCATCGGCGAAAGAGACCGACTATGTTTTGCGCCTGCAACTCATATTGGAGAAAATGTTGCTGTTGCTGGAGCTAGAATGACGTTTCATTGTGTAAAAATCACCAGAGTTACAGATCTAACAATTGTACGTCAAATCTAATGAAGAAGGGTTTCCCAGGTTCAAATATTTAAAAAAGTATTCTTATGCTCGGACGAAAGTTTAAGCATTTTTCTGTTTGTGATAAAATAAACTACTGTTTGACTGCAACCGCAATGGCCGAAAGAACCATTTGAGTTTGTTTTCTATTTGAGACTGCTGCTAATGTACCCACTAAAATTGATTGACACTTCTTGCAGCCAGTTCTACGATATTGAAAAAAATAACTCAACAATATTCACGAAGGAACTGCCAAATACTCATGGTCTAATGACAAATAAATTGATTGTTCTGTGGATGTTTTTTTAGCAATATTGTCGTCGCTTTTATATTTCTATTTCTATGAATTCTATAGAATTCATCATCTATATAATGCATATCTCTGGCACAGAAATGAGGTTCTACCAAACGACGTGTCCTCCTTTTAAGATTTTGAAATATGGCACCAGTGTTGCCTCTAAAAAAATTTCACACTGCGCAAATGTTGTTTTTACTATTTTAGGGTTGAGCAGAATCCTGAAATATTTGCAAACTTTATGAAAAGTTACAATAGTAGCATATCCTATATTATCGGAATGAAGACAAACTACACTATTAACTCAAATAGATTCTCCTGTACTTAATGTATAATCTCAACATTTTTGTTGTTAACATAGCATTTCCTCCATCAAAATAGGGTATATATGATATTTTGCTTGTCTTATGCTCTGCATGATTTCCTCCTTGGCGACAAAGTCTATGCTCTTGAAAAATTCAAAGCCGAAAATTTTGCTTCGCCATGCATGTGGCAATTCAATGTATTTGGACATACGACTATTTATTACTTTGCGGGACAATATCGATGAATTCGGCTTAACGCGTGGTAGAACACTATCTATGTGAGGCTTTATTGTTCTTGACGGGGTTTTCCAAACTTCACGTTCTTCAGCGGTCGGTATTGCGGTGAAAAAGTTCGAACAACCTTCTCTTGTACCCACGTTTCGCTTCTAAGTTAATGCATCTAGTATTCTAGTGTGTTAATGTGCTTACATGATTTAAATGGCGTTTTAGAGTCAACTTCCCATTCTCAAGCACGATTTGCCTTTTTCAAATCACTATCAGGTGCCACATTCCGACAAACTTTGCAGAATATCACATTTTACTCACACGCCAGATAAAGAACACTAGTAGGTGTTTTAGTTAAGATGCTTAACACTCTTCTCAGTAGTTTCTAGTGAAACATACCTGTTATTTAGGCTTACCATACGTCCCGCTTTTCAGCGTTTTGTCCCGATAAGTCAGCCAAAAGTCCCGCTTTTCCAGCATAATACACAAACATGTTCTCGTTACTGTTGTTTCTGTGTAGCGCAGCGCTAGCCTACTTACTGAAGGTGAACGCGTTCGTTTCCCGCTGATTCCCATTGATGGCAGACGTATCGCATGTAAAACCAATCTAAAAATAAAAAAAACCAATACTAATTAGTCTAAATTCGAATTATTTGTACCAGTATCGTTAAAGTCAATTCCTTCCTATTTTTCGAACTGAACCCGATATTTGGACAGAGAATATGCGCATGAAATTTCGATAACAATATGGTCAATAAAGACAGCCGAGACAGCTTTAAATGTAGGAATGTACCCTATGTAGTAAAATCGGAAAATGTGAAGTTACAAAATCACAGCTAAGGGGTCGTTGTCTTTCGAGGCGTCCTGATTTGAAGTCACAAAAATATGGTAACCCTACTATTATTATATAATCATTCGGTATCATTCAGTATAAGCTCATGTGTCCCAATCTCGAGATTCAAGCAAATTTTCTGTAACAAACAGTGGGCACATTTAATACCTATTAAATCTTCATCTGTGTTACCTTCTCTACGGATAATAACCAGAAAGATTTGGCGGGGTCGACAACACGAAATTCAGAGCGCACGATGAAAATTTCAAATTCGACACTTACCCAGCTGATCGCTTTGACGCTGGCATACAGAAATCAAGATACTTGAGCGTGACAGACACGTGTGTGACATCACAATGACCAGTGGTTCATCAAAATTCGCGTGGAACATAAAATGAGCATTTTAGTAAAGCGTTAATAAAATGACATATAAGCCACAATAAAATATGAGCCACGCTCCAAAAACGAGATGTTGCAACTGCGCGAGAAGGAGATTTTACTGCGCAAATGTTCTGGTGGTATTGCGCAATTGCTCAGTTGCGCAGCTTAGAGGGAACCTTGATGGTCACCCTAGATCAGGGTGGTCAAAGCCCGCGGGCCACATATCTGTGGCCCGCGTCACATTCGGAGAGTAATCAAAAAATAGCATTTTGTGTTGTTTTGTATAAAAAATTATTCAGAAAAATCTTTTTACATATTGTTACATCACTAATGTCACTGAATTGACTAGTGTTATGTTCTAGTTGAGGCAACTAGCGAAGTTGAACAATGTGCTTTGCTTGGCAGTCTAAATTATTATCTGGCTAAGCTGGCTTTCTATCTTTTTGGTCGGGAATATATGCTAACAATAGAAAATCTAATGCGGATTCTCTTAGCCTTGGATGGCTATGTCTGATAGTGATAACTATGTGTTTGCACAACAAAAGTGTTTATTTTATATTACACTGTTTACCTATTCTTGGCATTATTGTGGCCCGCGAGCAATGCAAAAATAATTTTGTGGCCCGCGGAGCTGACAACCTTGGACCACCCTGCCCTAGATAATACAGCTTAACCATATGTCGAACCACGGCCACACCGCCGCGCCGATCTTGTATTTCAGGGCGGACCCTAATTTCTGGCCAGATATGAGTTCCCCCACACAATGATTGGCATGTCGTGTCACGTTAGGAACAAATGCTACGCCCTTCAAGTTGCAAATGTCCTTGCTAGAATCAGCCGCCATAAGTTACGGTTTCCCTCGTAATCGAAGTACATGTATCTGGAATTCTCCCCATATTCAAACTCGACGAGATGCTGTAGCTGTATCGACTTTCCTAACCAACCATTTCGATACAGACATCACGTGCAAGCAATCTCGTGAGGTCATGACGTGCTTTTGTTTTGAAATCACTTCACAAATTTGACAGCGTTGCGCTACCGCGAAGACTTCTCAATCTCACCGTAGCAGTTCAGTACAGGATGGGGATTAGGTTTTCATATTTATTCCTGCTGTCAGTCCTGGGGTGTGCCTTGCAAAAATGGTGCACAGTCCTACCCGGGCGAACTGCAGTAAATGATTGTATCGTTTTGAGATTAAGAAATAGACTAGGTACCGTAGGCGTAGCCGCGTAGGTAGGCGCGGCGGTGTGGCTCAACGGGCTAAGCGTTAGGAATACGCTCGCCACCGCACCTCTAATTACTCTGCGTGGGTTCGCAGGTTCGAATCCCATGCAGGGATGGTTACCGTATGTGCGAGAGGATTGCTGGACTCCTCGCCGTCGTTGGGTGGTTCACGTAACCGCTGGTCGGTTACCGTACGGCTTCCTCCACCACCAAGTCCATGCTTCCGAAAACAAACAATACAGTAAAAACTAATCCCATACCTACCCGACTTGGAATGGTAACCGGACGAGAGGCCGTGGTTCGCCATATGGATAAGCCGTCTTATCGGCTTTCCTCTCCCCCGGGATAAATATGTAAATCCTATCCTACCGTACGATGCCATCGTACCGGTACTGACTCCTGGACTCCACGCTCAGACTCTGCCTCCAATCAGTGAATCAGGCACATTTATTTCTGTCATTTAAGCACTGTTTACTTCTGTACTTGAATTTAATAGTAGTCTACTGTAGTATCTATCTGCATAGTTTACCCATGATTATGGGGTCTGGTATAGTTTAGTACCACATCCACATCCACAACAATTTTTGCATATGTCAATCCTAACCCCCACCTGACTACGTCACCGAAAAATTACGTCATTCCGACGTCACAGTGGCGTAATAAGGCTCACCGAAGTATGCGGATGGTCGTCCAAAACGCGCAGACGATAACCCGAAATCGAGCAAGCTATTTCTCTCTATTTCTCGTCGCAACGATCACGACAGGAGAGAGGCTTTAGCAAGTTCTTATCGGCGGCGCAGATGCCATTTCGGGCAATCGTAATTATACTTTGGCAATCCCTATGGCGTGATGGTGACGTCGCAGTGACAAAATTTTTGGATGGCATAGGCTAGTCAGTTGAGGGTTAGGAATAACATATGCAAAAATCGTTATGCTACGCCCACTGGAAGTACTTGTGGTACTAAACTATACTAGACCCTGATTATGTATAGGCCTGCTCAACAAATAACATAAGTATACTCTGATTTTCTGGCAAAAAAAATCATACACAAAACACAAACAATGAACACACAGAAGATTGGGAAAATCGGGGAACTGGCAAAACCTTTATAAAGGTTTAATACATGTAAATATAGATGCGCCAGTTTACCCACATTCAACACACAAACATATATATCTTTTGTCGGTACCGATTAGTTTAATTTAAAATCAATGTATCCGTTTCAATGCTTCAACATTAATATCGAATTTTCAAGAACAACTACCATTACAACAGGTGCAGTGATCCCGTCTTTTCTGCGCTCTGTTCCATCATTCACAACTAGATTCATAAAAGGATCAAAAACCTCGCCAAACACATGTAACAGATCGTCCACCATTTAACTTTAAATCCGATCTTTTATCTATAAACTTCTTTAATTATGATAGATGGGCATTCTCAAGCATTGTTTGATCTTTCGTTTACCAGAGCTTTATTACGATACAATATTCTATTATTTTTATTGGTTGATGAGGCTTACAGACCATAATGTCTTCAATGGTCCCCAAAGATAGATTGAAACATTTGTTTGATCAAGGAGGAAATGTATCTGTTGATAAAAATGTTCCGATTCAACGCTATTATCGATCTGGCCAAGAAATGATGAGAATGGTAATTTTTAGGTTTATTGTTGCAATATTCAGCATCAGACATGTATTTTCTCATTTCGGCTGTTGATGTTCAATATTTTATTGTGTCAAAACATAAACCTGTGACCGGTATTTGGTGCACTTAAATTGAGCAAATCTTTTTATGAGATTTAATATTCATCATGTTAAATTCATTCACTGAATGTATTGAAAAATCATGATATGTTCCAAGTTTACTTTACTAAATATGGCATGAATCCTGATTGTATGTCAATAAATATTTTTTTACCTTATTTAAAATTCGATAATTTCACATGTTTCTCTGAGAATTAAGTTTTTTAAATGCAATTCTCCCATCACCAACCATATCACAAATTTATTTTATCAGGCAAATATATATTATGAAGAAAAACAATATGAATCTGCATATCTTCTTTTTGCCAAGTTTATCACGTAAGTTTGGTGATAATCTATAATTATTATTAACAGTTGCACCTTCAATTTATATTCCGGTATTGGTTTTAGTATAGTAAGTCTGAATAGCCTATTGCTTTTAATAAAAACTATTGGCATGTCTTGTATTTTTGTGCTCTCTCATAGAATCGAATTTAGTGCTAAAACTGCAGTTTCAATTAATTAAATTTGTGAATAAGAATCATTTCAAGATATTTATAATTTGAATCACACTGACATTTTTTAATGTAAATTTCTAATATATATTCTGAATAGCTATCTTCATGTCTTGTTTCTAGTTAATTAAATATACAGTATTATTTTTTGTATCAACTTTCAGCTTGTTTCTTGAAAAGATGAAGATCCACCCACAATTGAATCAAGTTCCGCCAGTCCCAAAAGCCGCAAATAAAAAGAGTTTGAAAATTGCTCTCACAAAGGCTGAAAAAATTAAAGTTATTCTTGAAGAGAAATATGAAATTGAGTATTTAAAATGGAAAACTGAACAAGTGAGAGAACTTCACGATTTTGTTGTATTTAGATGAATGATCAATTCTTTGTTTGTTTGGATAATTGGCAATGATATGCCTGTTTTCAGAAAACTTTTAATAGGGTTTTATTATATACGGTGGATTGATGGAGAATCATTCTTTAATAAAAGTGCATTTGTTTTGGTGTCAAATAATTTCCCTATATCACAGTAATTTTTTGCATTGTATCAGCCGTTAATGATAAGTCCCAAATGGCTAATCTTGTTTTTTCTTACTATGCACGCACTGGTAATCATAATTTGTGATAGTTCGCCTTTTTTTATGGTTACACTTTGAAGTGAAAAGTCTGGAAATTTTAACGGAATCCCGTCTGAAAATGCTACATTGATATCAGAATTTTCTGTTCTCTCGTGCAGGATCGAATGAAAGAAATTGAAAAACGAAAAATTGAAGAAGAAAAAAGGAAAGAAAAAGAACAGAAAGAACTTGAGGAAAGAGCCATGCTTGATAAAGAAAAACAACAACTAGATTATTTTGTTGAACAACAAAGAAGAAAACAATTAGAAGATGAAAGACTTGCAATCGAAGCTAGGTAAAAAAAAGCAGATAGAATGAACCTGTCAAAACATTTTGCTTATCTCGTTTTGTATGAGACTATTCGTAATATTGTGCGAAAACTTACTAATTAATGCATATCCAATTCTTTCTTTGTGTGCAGCTTCCATATTTAGCCTAGTTTACCTAATCATCTATCTTTCTGGTGTAACAAAATGTAACTTGGAATCCATAAATGATAATTCAATCGTGAATTTGGAATAAGGGTGGAGTTTAAGTGTATTTGTGAATGCTATTCAGTATTTAAGAACATAAATTATAAAAGTTTCATTTCAGTGACTCTTAATAAAATCAATAATTTGAAAAATCTTATGTAGATTTTCAGATTCAACTAAATTGGAAGAAAATAAGAGTTTCCCTCTTATTCCTGTGGATTTTGCTCCCCCGCCACCAACCTATCAAGAACAAGAAACAGATTATCAACCTCCTTCATATCAGCAGTCTGTTTCACACGGTAATTACCTATCAACATTCCGAAAAATCATTTGAAGCTTTTAGATATTTAGGGTTGCAATCATATTATTGTCATTCCTCATCCTTTCAAGCATTTTTTCTAAATTTTTGTCTTTTACATCAAGTAGTAATTTAGCCAGATAGTTCTGAACTATCAAAATGTCCAGTGTTCTATAGCAAGGTTTTCAAAACTGGGGTTCGTGATTACTGCACAGGGGGTCCACAATGATATGAAAAAGAGTCTGAAACATATACAAATAGATCATAATCTTATCAAATTGCCGTTAGCCTATCAGTATTCAATGTTATTATGTATTGATTCGTCTTCCATGAGTTTTATTTTGTCAAAGGAAATATTATTCTTTCTCGTTGGTTAGGCACAGAAATTGATACGACTTAGGATGGGGGGCCGTCAAAAATAAGATTCACAAACAGGGGGCCGTATCCCGAAAAGTTTGGGAAACCCTGTTCTATAGGCGTTCATTTGTTCAAATATCCAATGTATCAGACACTAAATGTATTTATTAAATAGAAGTAAAGTTTACTGTTATGTGAAAAAAAAATTCTTGGATACAACCAATTTATATATTACAGATGACTAAGTTAATTACTTCTTTTAAATATCAGATGATAATCATTCGATTAATTTGTTATTCAGTTCCAAAAATTCAGCCTCCTCCGACTGTAGACAGGAGTGTGAAACCCCAGTATCTAATTCAACCTGATCCTCATGTACCACCTACTCAGGGTAATGGTTCTACAGTAGCGAATAACATTTCTTCAAATAAGTACACTGGAGCTGCAATTTCTAGGTTAGTAAAATTCTATTCAAAATCTGTTTCGTTAGAGTTTGAGTTTATTTTACAAGCAGCAAATTGAGACCGAAAAGTTTTTTTTGTGTTACAGTACCACAACAACAAGCAAGAATAAATATGGTCTACGAACTGTGATATCTCCTAGAGATTTACCGCAAAAGTTTATGCAATATGCAAAAAGTAATACAATGAACAATATTGAAACATGTGGTGTTTTGTTTGGAAACTTAGTAAGTGATATGTATTTTAATCCTTTACTCATATGAATCTGTATTTGAGGAATTGAACTTCTGTCATTTTGTTACCTATCATTCTTGAATCTAAATTCACAATTAGGAGATAGAAGGATGGAACTTACATATTTATTCCAGTGGAGACGAAAGTCGCTGACGGCTTAATCATATGGTGAACCACAGCCTCTTGTCCGGTTACCAGTTCCATGCCAGGTATGGGATTGGTTAGCCAGTTATTTGTTTCAAATGCATGGACTTGATGGTGAAAGAAGCCGTAACCGACCATCTGCTATGGCAGCAATGAGTCCAGCAATTATCTCACACATAATTATCCCACACAGGATTCAAACCTGCAAACTCACGCAGGGTAGTCAGAGGTGTGATGGCAAGCGTATTCCTAACGCTTAGCATGATGTACCACACCGTAAAGACAATTAAAATTTGTTTTTGAATCTTAACATCGCATTATTATTTCACATACTAACCTGTAACTTACTTTAGTCACAGAATATGTTTGTCATTACTCATGTCTTGCTGCCTCAACAAACTGGTACATCAGACAGTTGTACAACTTCAAATGAGGAAGATTTATGGGAATTTCAAGCTCAGTATGATGGTATTTGTTTGGGTTGGATACATGTAGGTATATCTTACTTGAATTTATAAGTAAGGTACTAATACCACAGACTGTCTTTGATATGGCCACTGGATAATTGACATTTTTAAATGGAAATGGATCGTATTTCACATAGCAAATGAACTCTTGTCACGTTTTGTCTCAGAACGAGACTTCTGACAAGCAGTTTCAAAGTCAAGGAATTTTTCCAGTTTGTCATTGCTTACACGTTTTTACTTCTATATTATCGATTTTATTGTTGCTAATTGCTTACTGACCGACGTAAAGGTGGCAAAACTTTACATGGCTATGTGGTTCCTCAAGGCATAATTAAACATAATTTGCTGAATAACAAAATAGCTACTGAGTAGTTTTCACCTTGCAATTTAGCAATATCCTTTTTTCAGACTCATCCATCACAGACTGCATTTTTATCGAGTGTCGATTTACATACACATTACCCTTATCAGTGTTTAATGGCTGAATCAGTGGCAATCGTTTGCTCTGGAAAATTTAATGAGGTAACTTTATTTTTCACCAATTTTGTTTATTTGGGTTGTCATTGCTGAGTTGGGGGGAAAATTTAGAGTTCGATTATCATCATGATAAGTCTGACATTTCAGACTCAGGTATGAGGAGTGTTTGAAAATATGACATGACTCTAACTCAAGAAAAACATGCCATACTGGAGACTCCACAATTCTGACTCTCTGAAAATTCTGTTTCCCTGCCCCTTGACCCCAGGTAAATTCTTTATATACTTTACCAAATCCAAATTTTTTATGTTTACCTTGAAAGTTTTTTTAGGTTAGCGCTTCCATCATTTGATTCCAAATATTATATCCACCTTCAACTTTAAAGTTCGGAGCCTGGTAGCCTGGTTTATGGGGACTACTTTCTAATAGCTATAATTGAAATAAATCTCTTCACAAGAAAAAATTATATTGATGTACACATAAATTTTATGTGTGAGAGAGGATGATAATATGGTCATTTTTGAATAATCTATGTTTGGCATTTTTTTTTTAAATAAAAACGTGTTATTTATAAGTAAATTGATATCGCTTTTCATATTTTGTATAGTTGAAAATCTCATAATTCTCGACTTTGCAATTTTGTTTTTGATAAATGAAAATAAAAGACATCCCCCAAAAATAAGCAATAAGCCCTTGTGTTATTTAAGAAAATTGAAATAATCCGGTCTTATTTTGGGGGAAACACTGTTATAAGTAGCAAATCTTGAAAAAAAGCCAATTGTTGCAAACATGCATGAAATTCTGTCCACCTATTACCTAGCACCAACTGATGTTTAGTTAAATTTATCACTATGGCCTATATACACATTCATAAGATTAGGTACAACAGATGTATTCCTGAGCATCGACTTCCTCCTTTGCATTATTCAAAATAAATTGTTTCAAATAAAATTTTGATTTGGTATATCCGAGGGTCCATATAATGATTAGGTTATCCACTATACTGTTATCTTATCATATAGCACTTACTTTTTTGCCAAATTTATACGTTTTTGCTTACAAAATACACACACATTAGCATTCTTAAAACCAACAAATACATGATTTAGTTTCATATCAAGTATCATATCTTTAATTGAATTATTAAAAATATGAATTTGCATAGTGGATTTCTGAAAATAAAACTGTTGCCAGCACATGAGCAGCATTTATCTATGATCATATGATCAGCCTTGGTTAAAGTACTTTATGAACTTCTATTTTTGTTTTAATATTACAGACTGGTTACTTCATGCTCACTCCTGGACAGGGAATGAAGGAGATTGGTAATTGTTCAAAACCAGGTCACCATCCCCATCAAACCAACCCTCCTTTATTTCAGGTAAAATAGAATTTAGAAAAATACATAGATTTTATCGAACAGTTTAAATTAATTCAGGTTCTAAATTGTAGATCAGGTAACACCTAATGGAACCTAATTCGGGTAAATACATGCAAAATCCCACATGAGATATCAATTACAGTGGCATACAGACAGTATTGAATGTATATGAATAAAATCTTGTTTAAAATATGTTTCTATGTGACTTCTGCACACATCACATGTGCATATATTACTTATTTCTTGGAATGTATTGGAATAAAATATTGTTATTTAAATTGTGGGTATGTTTTTATGTAAGCACATAATTATAAATCATTTTTTTTATTTTATAGTCGTGTGATCATGTCCAAGTTTCTGATTCTCACCAAGTTGAATTCATGGATTGGAGGAAAAGGTGACATATAGTAAGTGCCATAGTTAATATTTGGTTTGATATTCTCTTATTTTTGTTCTCTGTATCTGAAAATTTTTTAAAAATGTATTTTGTCAGTATTTATTGCCACTATCCGTTCCCTAAAATTGAGAGAGTTTCTGATACTGCTCTTTCCCCATTTATTATATTTTCAGGTTCCCAAATTGTGGTTTGAATAATATTTTATATTTATCTTGCGATTGCTAATAAGTAAGCATCTGCCTTTTTGCATCCATTCAGTCAACCTCTTGAATTTTGATAGTAATAAGCTTCAAAATCACATGTTTTACAGATTTGAGCAGCGGAAAAAAGAAACGCTCTGTTGCTGTGTGTTCAGATTATATTTCGTAGAAATATGCACTTACTGAATGGAACGGCCATGAGTGATTCCGATCTTTATTATGCAGTGCATCACTTTTTCTTTTCCGCAAGTTTAATCAGTGTTGTATTGTTATGCAGTTTGAATCATAACACAGTGTGTGCTGCATGACTTTTTCATTCCAAAAAAAAATTTGTCGAGTTATATTCAGCCCATTATCCTATGTCCGACCAGGAGGCACTAATTTGATCGTAATTAGTAAATTTATCATTCAATGCTTTACAAGGATGGAGAAAAGTGAGTATTCCTGTAGTGTGTGTTCCAGGTTAGGGTTAGGCAACAATTTTACTCCGATTTTCCTTATTTTAATTCTATTACGAGTTTGGGGACTGTCTTAGTGTTAGACTGTGTTAGTCAAGTGAATATACCCCCTGTCCATAAGCTTCCGTCCCTTTACACAGCTTGATGTAAAGTAGGCGAACAAAATTAGCTATCACCATATTGGTACACACACTTCTAGAGTGCCGAAAATTGACCACACTATGCCTAACCAGAAAGCATTCTTTGGTCAGCAGCTCCCTTAACGCAAAATTTAGTCGTCGTTTTTGTTTGAAACTTGTTTCTTGTCTCATCTTGCAATCAAAACTGCTAATGCATTTATATTAGTTTTTCCTATTATTTTGAAGTATATTTGAGGTCTATCAAGAAAGTTTTGTGTTCACTGGTGGTACCAAGCAGTTCAGTGGGTTGTATTCACCCGTTTAGCTTCAACTGATGTATAGCTTATGAATATTTTATAGTAATTTTCATGTAAATAGCATTTCCGATGGCAATTCTACTCGCACATACATATATATATTTGGAAATAAACACTAAATACCAGTTAATTTTCATACAAAAACCTTTGGTACTGGTAAGCTGTAGACTTTTCGGTATTGTGGACATTTCACATGCCTTCAGTTTGGGTTATGCGCCTGCCTTTCGGTTATTCTTGGGGGTGGTATCAGATTTTTTTTACTGTTGCATAGAGCAGGGGTGCACAACACGGGCACGCGTGTCAAATTTGGCACGCCATGCGCTCAAACGTGGCACGCGAACGGTTTTGTGAAAATATTAGTTTATTTATGATAAACATCATTGTGATACGTTATGTACCCGAATGGATTTGTGAAATGAATCTAATTCTATTATTTTGTTGTGCTTAAAAGCATGTATTATCTGGTGTGTATTTTTATCCTATACAACACGGGGCACGCGAACGGTTTTGTAAAAATTTTAGTTTATTTATGATAAACATCAAAATTTCACCATTATATCGAAAGAAACTTTAATGATCATGTTTATCCACACATTGCTAGCTCGTGGCCTGTTTCCGAAGATAGTTGCTGAAAATAAGTAACACCTAAATTCGCACTGATTGCAGCAATAAGTAAAATCATTCGCTGCAAAAGAAAAGAAAATGAGACTCGTGGATTTCAAGACTCTTGGACAAGCGAATATCTCTTTATCGAATATATATATAAACAGAAGCCCATATTCTCGGTTTGTGGCACAACTCTTTCTATTTTAAAAGCCTTCAATGTGAAGAGACACCATAACGCGCTACATCAACACAAATATGATAAAACTGTCGGAAAGCCGAGAAAAAGTTTGGTGTTGAAACTATAAAATTCTCTGGGAGTGCAACAGGACGTATTTAAAAAGCCCATCGGAGAAAATGGAAACGCCATCGCTGCATCTTATGTTTTAGCAGAAGAAGTTCCAGGCCATTCCAACAGAAAAAGCTATTCCAGACTATCCACAGATAGCGAGTTTGCTCGAGAATCAGTCTTTTGAAAACTACCATTCCTAGAAGAATTAAAGAAATTGGCGAAATCTTATTCAATTCAATTCGTTTATTACTCCAGACCGCTGCGGTCCATATAAAAATTACACAAACAAATAAACATGAGCGAAAATACAATAAATACCTGATACGACAATCAGATGAGCAACTGCAATCGAAAGTAGACCTTCGAATATTTTTCACTGGCTTTTGATAAAAGCTGTGATATGAGTGATACTGAGTAATTATCGGTCCGCGCTGTAGCAAAAGACCTATCTTTTTATGAAGGTCTTGTTGGACTTCTTCCTCTTTATGGCACAACACGTGGGGTAGATATAAAAGAAGCTGTGTTAGATGCGTTTCACTATAAAATTAGTTGGATTGACGACGGGGCAGCTTCTATTACTAATAAAGAAAACGGTGCCGTGGCGCTATTGAAAAAGTACTTGCAAGAATCTGATTTTACTCGGGACATTATTACTTTTCACTGCTTCATTCATCAAGAGTCTCTTTGTGATCAAAGTATAAAGATAACCCATGTTATGGACGGTATTGTAAAATGTGTGAATAAAATTCTGTCGGAAGGATTGAAGCACCGCCAATTTCGAGCATTCTTGTTGGAGATGAATACACAATACAAGGACTTAGTGCATCATTCTCAAGTTCGCTGGTTAAGTAGATGGAAAGTTTTGCAGCACTTTCTTAGCCTTTTTGAAGAAATTGAAATATTTTTACAGGAAAAGAGTTCAACACTGAAGACCAAAAATGGGGAAGATGTTTTGACGCACTTATGTGACAATACTCGGTTGCTGGATATTACGCTTTTGACAGATATTACACAGCATATGTACAACCTATGTATCAGAATGCAACGATCAACTGGCAACATGATCCAGTTTAAAACTATGTCTTTGTTTTTGGAAAAAAAAAAGGCAAACTTGGTTTCTGACTTTGAGAAGTATGCCATAATGTGCGGTGACCTTCGTCAAATCTTTTCAAAACGCTTTCAAGATTTTAATGACCGGAAGGCGCAAATGAATTTATTTCAAAGACCATTGAGTGTGGATGTTGAATTTATTGAAGACGCTGACGCTCAACTAGAACTTCTGGATTCGAAGTCAAACCAAGTTTTGCAGGATGTTTTTCAACAAAATGCAATACTTGAGTTCTAACTCTCGCCACGAAGAAGCGAATTATCCAGTTTGTTGAGAAATTCAAAGTCTGGATTTGTTAATTTGAAAGCACGTACAGTTGTTAAAAGGCATTCTCAATCATGAAAGTAAACAAATTCCAGCTACGGACTCGTTTACTGGATGAGCATATAGATTCAGTGATGCGAATCGCTATTTCTCCCTTAAAGCCCAACATTTCAAATTTGGTCCAACAAAAACGTCTTCAAATCAGCGGTTTTTCACGGGCTTAAATCGTTTCAATAAATAGATATTCGTTATTATGTATTATTATTGAAGTTTGTTTGATATATGTTATACGGGAGTTCGTTTACAATACCAACAATTGTGCGTGGCCCGCGACAAGATTATTTTGAAAAAATTTGGCACATATTCTCATTTGAGTTGTGCACCACAGGCATTAGAGGATTTCGCGGGTGGGCCATATCCATGGTCAAGACACTGATGTAATTCGTACCTGATGCGGCAACTAATATCGTTCATGTTTTGTTTTCTCGCGAAAAGACGAACCATTTGTTATCGAACTTGCTGGGCAGCGTCACCCGTTGTCACTTAAAAGAAAGAGTCTCGCTGCTAAGTAGGGATGGCGGAATCGAGTCTGAATTCGATTACAGAATCGACTAGACTCGATTCGGATGCATTGGATTGCAAACAATGTGTATCGTTTTGTGGCAAGTCCTCCACATATATGCATTTACTGTTATGCTGAGTTGCTACGACGCCGTAAACATCACTATATATAATATATTCATTTTTTTTTTGCTAGAAGCTGAAAGGCTGTTAGGATTTTTTTTTTCAAAAATCTCTGTGAGTTCTGAGGAATTCATTTTTTTATGCGATTTTGTATACTGTGACAGATTAAATACCCAATACCCATACTACTTAGTTTTAGCTTTCTTGTCCGTACACATGTTTGGACATCGCTCTCGTGTTTGATTTCACGTGGTAGTGTTAAGTAAGAAGGTACCTATGTTTTCTCGGTAAAATATGCCGAGGAATCGAAAATTCAGGAATCGTAAAAAAATCGAATACTTGTAAGTGAGGAGTCATACTTAGCATCCTTACTTCTGAGTAAGGTTAGTGCGGCTGCTTTAAAAGCTAAAAACTGCTTAACTCACTTAGAATTATTGCTACTGTGTGTCTCCTTGGCGCGAATTGTACATGTTGATCGTTTGCAATATTATTATCAAGCAATTATTCTTCAAAACTGGCCGACGGCCTAGTATTTAAAGATGAAAGAACTCACTAGAGTCTATATATACTTTTATTTCAAGATTCTTTCCCAGGCCTACGCGGGCCGATATTTCATGCAAATTTTGCTTTTCATATAAATTCGCCGGAACACTGTTTTGACATCAACCCAGTTTGTGAAAAAGCCTCCTGTTTTATGGAATCTTAGATTGACCAGTTTTCATTCTGCTCTAAAGTTCTTCTGCTTTGCTCATTAGCAGCACCATTTTTATGTCAACGAATTCAGGTAACGCTGTGTACAATATAGCTGATTGTATTATTATTAACATATATATTAAGTAGGATATACCAGGATATAAAGTCATCACAATAAAATATCCTAAAAGTTGAGCAGCTGTATTCATATGCTGGCTTGTATACATTTTGGTGTCTCAATAACAAAAAAACATATCTTCTTCTCGATTCTGTCAACTTTGGCACCGCCACTCATATAAGACTTGCTACAGATATGATTGCAGATGTATTTATTTAGGTTGAAAATGAAATGCACAAAATACAGTGACGTTGCAAAAAAATTGACATCGTTTATTATTTTACCATGTATATATAAATTGTTTTCAAACTCAAATTACTATGGTCTTTTAACTCAGTATTATGGTGTTGAATACAGGAATAACAAATTTCAGTCCAAAATGTTGTAAAGCTTAATGCGATATAGCTCACGGAGCAGCCGTTAATAATATAACATAAAATGATGCATTCTCGATAAACCCGACCAGCTGTACAGGGGCGTATCCAAAGGAGGGTTCTGAAATTAGTTAGATCGAAACAGGTAACGGGTCCGGCCGAACGCCGGAAAATGTGTCTTTTCAGGATTCTTGAGGGTCTAAAAAGCGTCTCAAGCTACGAAAAATTGCTATGTATGATACAGAAAGTTGCTTTTTTTTTTGCATTTCAAAAGGGGGAGGAGAGGGTTCCGAACCTCAAAACCCCCCTCCCTTGCTACGACCCTGCAGCTGTATATATAGCGTTCAGGTTGAATCTTTTTTCTGTAATATTGAGAGCACCTCTGACCGTACATATTTTACTCGTGACCATTATTTAGTGGGTGATTGAACGAAAATTCGCTTGCAATACTGGATAATGCTCTGAAAACAGTTTCATTGAGGTATTTCAAACAATAGCTCCAAACACTACAATGTGGTTATTGAAATTTGAGAACAGAATTTTTCTTCTTTATGATATGGGTCGGGTTTAGACCAGAAGACACCTTATCTAGCCTATGCTGTTTGTGAGACCCGTCTTTAACAATGACATCATAACGTTCAACTGAAACTATTGTGGCGTCATAATAGACTTTTCCTGCTATGTAAAGTAAATATTTATAAATAACATTTAAAATTGCACAAACTATAAGAATTCAGATAGTATGATGGATAGTAAGATGAATTTAATAAAAACTCAAGACTGTAATAAAAATATCATGGCAGCAGAAACTTTAACGTCATAATACTCGTTTCTAGTTGCGATAGATTATTGTTTAGATTAAAGATGGGCAAACTACGGCCCTTGGGCAGCATGTGTCCCGCCAAAGCATTTTGTGCGGCCCGTGGTTTTGGAGAAAGTTGTGAAAATGTCTTACAACTACATACACAACTTAAATTTATTTTTAGAGTTTATATAAAATATATAAACTGTGAATTGTTAAAATACTATCAATGCTTTTTCGTCTCCGGTTCAACAATATCAGCCAACATTAAATTCGACACTGTCATAGCGAATGGGAATAGCAATTGTAACATCACAATCAATTTCTCTACGTGGTCCTTTGCAAAAAAAATTCTGAATGCGGCACTGGCATAAAAATCTTAGCGCACCCTGGTTTACATACACTAGTATAGATATATATCGATATTTTCACTTTTTTCAAATAAAGGAATTATTAACGTAAAAACTGTTCAATTCATTTATTTTTGTATATTTTATTTTTAAGGTTGACGGGGTAGAGTTTCCAAATTTTTGACAAATCAATTAATTTGACCGTATTTAATATTTTAATCTATTAAGGGTTAATATTAGGGACAATAATTGTTAATTAACCCGATTAAAAAGTTAAATAGATATCAGGTTTAAGAAATTTTAAAGCGTTTTCATTCTGGAACAAGTCAAAATTAAAATACCAAAAATGTAGAAACAACTTTGAAATGAATTACTGTTTGATACTGAATGCCGAGGCCTCTTGGCTTCAGCCTATGCTTTGCCCAATGGTAAATCCGGCCCTTTATGGAAGAACAGCGAGTGACCCATTTTTAACGCAAGGCCAGGACCAGAGTTAGGCCAGAATAAAGTTCTGTTGCGCGCTAATCGCCATGGTCAACCATAAAAAGCGGAATCGGAGAAAAGTATCGAGCATAGATATACCTATACTTCAAGTTAGGTAATTCCGAAGTCATTTATTCAGCTTACTGCCATATTGGATTTTAGATACACGTAAAATTTCAACCGAGAAATTACGAAATTCACTTTGATTGTCGACAAGAAAGTGAGAAAGTTTCATAAATATTTCACATCTTAATTATACATTCCGTACCAAAATGATGTGCTTGCAGTCGCTGTTATACCGACAAGCGGATGTACACTCACGCTTTCGCATTAATTTGTGGTTATTTCATTTTCTCATGCTTAATTTAATTACTGATAGCTTGGGTAACTTTTACGTGTGTCATCACCTTCTCATATGTCCAAATTTAATTGCACTCCGATTTTATTTGAACTAGGGCGATATTTTTGCTTGTATAGCCTACCTGATCGACGTTGACAAAATAGTCCCAGTGCCACGATATCGGCAGTTAGTGGCTGGGGATTTATTTCAAATTCATGTTTGTGTCATAACATCATATTATCGACTTCTATATTAGTTTGGTGACTTCAAACTGGCGTTACGCGTTCTCGAATTCAAGTTAGCCCTAGGGTACATTATTCTAGTTCCAAGGCGTGTTGCATTTTACGGATAATTACATCATTAGAATTTGCACAGCATCCATTCAACCCATATTCTTATGTATCACAGCTACGAAAAATGGTTCAAATATCTTACATTGTTATGTGCATTCGAGCCTACGAATTGTATTGATTGGAAACAACAAATAGTATGGCCCTTAAAAAGAACTAAAGACATTGTAACTAAAGCTTGTATAGAAATCCTGCCTTCGTTATGCCGAATGCATTCTTTAAAATGTTTTCTTTCGCAGACGTATCCATATCATTTCCCCAAAAGTATTTAGATCTTATTCGCGAATAAAGTTAGAAATCGCACAATTACTTGTTTCTACTTCTCGCCCGAGGCGAGATAATTCTCCTCTCTACCGGCAACGCCCGCGACAATTTCTTTTAACGGTTTTGTAAACCTTGGAATAAGCACTTCGATTTTGTATCATATATATACTTTGCATTTCAATTCCACTGTACTTCGCGGTAACTTAATTCAATTTAAAAACACAAATATGTCAGAATGATTATTCGCTTGGCAGAGCTAAGCAATAAATACTTATAAATAAGGGGCACAGTGTATGTTGGATTGTCCATAACTCATCTTTCAATCACAAATGCATACACCACTAACTTGAATTGCTTGCGGTGTCATGAAGAGTACTTTCCTTTGTCCAGGCGACTCCAATTACTTCTTATCTGTCTCTAGACGTCAGCGGAATTTTCGCCTACGTGATGTTTGGTGTATTATTAGAATGACCATCTTGTAATGTCTCTGGAGCTGAGCGTCTAGTTCTGAATCGGAACATACGATTCATCATGAAATGAGCTTTTTTCCTTTGTATTAATCTCAAAAAGTTCTTTTTGTGATACCTTTTCCGCCTTGACAATAATTTCTTCTCACATTTTTCTCCTCGATAACCAGTTTTGCATCTGCAAGATGTCATTACAGGTTTAATTGATTGTCTGTCTCTAAATTTCAATTATTTTTCTGATCCAATTGATAAAAATGCCAGCAGTACACATTACAATAAATATATACAATCACAAGGTATTTATAAAGATATTATCTCGCCAATCCGTATTAAGAATTTAATAATCGCTCGCTTAAAATTCAGTCGCCTTTTTGACCTCTGTTATAAGCCAAAATTTCTAAATACCGACGGATTAGAACAGAAACTAAGCATGCTTATTTTCGATTTACTCATAACACTTCAAACGCTTTCTCAAGGCGTCATTAGTTTGATATTGATAATTTTTTAACACTTACAGACATCGTCGCTCCTTTGAAGGATTTACGTATTTACATATCCCATCATTTTTACAGTAAAATACGTCATCTCCTTCACAAAACTCGCCCGATGCATCTCGTGGTTCACCTGGCAAGAAATAAATCGATTATTCACACTGAAAAAAAATGTTTTGTCCTGTCAAACCAGTATGCATTATGTTTTCTCTACCAAGTATACGAATGTAAGCTATAGCTGCTTGTCTGAAGCTTTATTTAAAATGGGTAAGTTGAACCACGTAATCAAAATATCTTGTTGCATAGTAGCGTTTTCAATACAACTCCACTATTTCACAGTAGCAAAGGAATTGAAAAAAGTTTTATTATTGCTCAGACGGCGTGTTGCGTCTGACGTTTTTAAAACGATCCAAGTTGAGCGAGCAGTTTGTCCGCTTAGTTCAGAGATAGGTGAGGATGTATAATCCCTAGCCATTTGAATGGCCTTCGCGAAGAGAAATTGAGTTACAATACAGACAACAGGCTTCTTTTTAGGGAATCTCCAAAAAAACTTTTCAACGCAAGGGCCATAGTTATTCAGCTCATATTTTAACCAGCAATCGTCGTGGTGGATTTATACCTGCGGTAGTATTGCAATGTCCTTTCCAGTAAAACAATCTCTTTTTTCTGGAATTGCAAGCATGTTCGAGCATGTAGCAGGCATTAGGAAAATCCCAGTGATTTCCGCTATCTCGCGACATACACAGGTTAGTGTTTTTTCCAAAGCCTGCACAGTCGGCGCTCCTACATATGCAAGAACCATCGGACTGAAACGAGCCAAATCGACACTTTGCTTTCAATATATTCCAGCTATATGTATTATTTGACGTATTTGATGAATGTCCAACAGGAGGAATAACTATTGCTGACGATAAGGTTTGAAGATATTTGTTTGGCATCACGAAGGTAGTCACAGTAAATACTGAAAATAAAATAATTTAGTTATTATACGATGTTTCAGAAAATAAATTCCAATAATCAAATATCCGGTTTGATATTTATCGTTAAATTCAGATGTGATAATGTAATATATTAAACTCAATCATTACTACTAACACAACTCTTTAAAATGATTTAAAAAAAATTGTACGTAAGCAGATAAATATTTGATAGATATTGCGGCCGAAATTGCGCGGTTTATGACATTCATGAAACTGATTCAACTTCATTGAAATACACTGTTTCATTTATCCTGAAGCCGAAATAATTAATTAAAACTTAAAGCTAAAAGTGAATCTTGTATCCGTATCGCTTATCCCGGAAGATTGTAATTAATGATACGTCACATTCACATTATTTCTTCTTCTAAGTTGAGTTGATTTCAAAAAGCAACGTACTCATTTGCACGCAATTAGCGGTAGCATGTGGCAATGAGTCACGGTTTCAAAGAAATCAAAAGGTCGAGTAGAATCATGATGAGTCGTTAAAAATAGTTTCAACTGTGTATGGTACCCTTCAGTTCAATTTCGTTTTATCAGCGAGTTTTCACAAATTATGATATCTTAATGATTCAGAGAATCTGGCTATTTATCAGATTGCTACTCATACACAAATTATGTCGCAAACAACATATAATACTTTTTGATGACCAATCTGTACTTCGACACCCGTTTGTATAATGTCACGATACACCACTCCACTGTAATTTTTTGGTATTTGCTTGTTTGATTGTATTCTCTTTTTCCGGCCGCTGCGAAATACATGGCTGCGGGACTTCAATGTTGCTGCAGACTTACAATACGTGATACGAAATAAAAATGATTTTTCCCAGAAAAAGGCGTTTCCTTCTCAACGATTCAACTTTCATGTTTTCACACCAAATTTAATACGCATATATTTTAAATAATTATATAAACCAGACTGATAGGTAATCAAACGAATATTTGACGAATCAGTGAGAAGTATAATCTATCGCCAATAAAGATGATTTTTTTGATAACATATTTAACATTTCTTGGTACTAAGGTCGTGGTTAGTTTCCATTCTTAGGATTTTCAATTTAAATCATGTTTCAACATGGGGATTTTGATGTATTCTTTAGCCAAACATAATTAACCAATCTTCAATGACTTCCAATCCCAAATGTCGCATTTCCAGTTTTTTTGCTTCGCGGTGCGTCTATAATAAATTACATAACAACCTCTACAACTGTGGGAGCGTCAATGTTGACATTTGTATGAACGGAACGGGTTTGATTTCGTTTGGAATATTCACATGAAATGAAATCTCTATATAAACATCTTTTTCTGATAGTATTTTGTAACATTTTTATAATTTATTTCTTTAATTTCGTATAGAATCATTTAGAAAACTTACGCAATGTTAATAACCACGTTTATTGGCCGTTTCTAGGAATGTTCTAAATTCCATACGGCATTGACATTGTTGTTTTTCAAGTTTTTGTTCTACGTGAGTTTTATGTATCATGTTTCCAAATGTTTAACTGTAGTCTCAGCATTTTATATAAATAAATACAATTGATGTTGGTTTTTTCGGCTTTTCAATGACGCGTATCATAACCGAATGCGAACATAAAGTTAGGTCAGTTTCAAAAACATCTGAATCTTCGAGAAATCTTCACTAATTGATGGAACAGTTTAATTAATTCTTTGATCTAATCGTCGCTGTTGTTGTATTTTTCTTGAAAATAGCAAAATTTGGGGGAAAACATCGGGCCGCAGAGATTCCAGAAAATGCGAATATATATATAAAAGTCATTATTCTACAACACGTCTTCGAGTATTGTAAATTTAACAAGCGATTCATATAGTCTTAAACATAAATTTCCATCCGAATGACAACAATGGGAAAAAATTAGAATTCCTAAGCCCATTTCATGTGTAACGTTTTATATACATTTGTTATATTAGATTTACATCTCAGAAAGTTTCACGACAGAATCAAAGCCTATGATTTGTAAAAACCAACCCTAAATAACACACATTACTTCTCGCAAACATACATTACTTATTCCTTGAAAATGATAGATATGAACGATGTTTTTCAAATTTCAATTTGATAAGAAGTCTCATTGCATTTTTAAATAAGTAATCGTTTCTACCTTTCTAAAGATTCGAATTTCTAAACTCTAGATTATGTGTATAACTCGACATACTAATACCATGTGCGCGATCGTTTTTGACATCAACGCCATAAACCGGAATTTTACTGTTCGCTTCATTAAAATGTTTCCTTGGAGTTATCATGAAGATTAAAGCTTCATTCTTGTGTAAACTTTCAGTGCACGTTTTCTTGATACGTTTTGCGCCTATACGGCTAATATTGGACAAATAATCATTTTTAAAATCTACTCACCTATTAGTTGAAATCGCAAACGTTTGCTCCACGTTCCCATTACAAATGGGAAAGACTGTAATTGCACTCCCGTTTTTGTTGAAGAAGTTTCCACGGGTGGGGTTTCATGCGGTAGGAGGTTTCACTTTTGTTGAAAATATGTATCCCTTGAAAGCTTTTGACAAATGTCACCATACTGAAGGTGATGATATGTACGGTTGGAGTGTATCTTACCCTAACCCTGCTTTAGGCAAATTTGGATGATTTATACCTAAAATATTTTCTCTGCCTTTATCTGCTGTGTCATTGTGGAGAACACGCAGAAATATCGGTAGTAATTCACAGCTTTGATACTAGAGAGATGAAAAAAGCATCTAACCGCAGTGCAAAGCAGCGCGCGCATTCTAACTTTATATACCTCAGGGTATTTAGGCTGCTATGTTAAGTAAAGTCGAAATTGAAATACGAGGATTACAGACACGTTGTCGAAGTCAACTGACGTTCGTAATCACGAATTGTCGTCAAGATTAACATTTAATCACCATTACAATGTTTACAGAAAATTCCATTCAATAATAATAAAATTATCCCCCTATTATCTATTATATAAATCTGTATACGTGTGTATAACTCAAAATTTCGTGGAACATTTACAACAGTGTCGCTGTTTCGAGTATTGTTCGATCATGACCTTTTTCTGTAAGTGGTAATGAGCGATAAAATGAATAGTAAAAAAAGCTTACGTTATTCATAGGCGTTGAAAATTTTTATTTTAAATACGTCTACGCGGGAATCGACGATTAGGCAGTGTTGTAATAATCCAACTTATCAACGACCAAATCTCTTAAATTGAGGTGGATTCCCAAGAAAGCGGATATCACTCATATGAATTATGACGTCAGCCATTGCGTGTTGAAGATTTTCTTTTAAATACGTCCACTCCGAAATCGACGATTCGGCAGTGTTGTAATAATTCATATAAAATTTTAAATTTATAGAAGAGAAATTTTTCTTTGTATCATGTTTGGCATGTATTAAGAATTCCTTTTCGGAGAAAGTCGTTGCAACGAAAGCCACATTCACTTATTAAACCCTTAAAAACTCGGTTGCAAAGAAAGGCAATGAATTGAAATGAAAAAGAACGTTCAGGTAATAAATCGAATAACTTCAGAAGAAGTGCATTTAATCGAAGTGGATTAACAGACAGGAAGTGGCCACTTTTCGCCAATTGTAACTCGATTCAAATAAACTTTCAAAGAATCGGTTTATCATTTATTTCTGTTGCTATACAAATAATGCACAAATAAGATTCCAGCATGTTCACGTACAGGTACGTACAAAATTTCTGTCAAACTCGTAAACTATGTTTCCCTTTTCTGTGGAACTTTTTTGCGGTCCTAACGTTGATGATTCCAAGGCATTTATAAGTTATGAAATTCCTGAAAAGTGATGTTGATATTTTTCTATATATATTACAGTAAAATCCCCACTTTATAAAAAATTTACATAAGATGAAAAACTCAAAACCCGCATGAAATTAGGCAACCAGCTCATGGAGCATTTCTATCTATCGTTATCTTATTGCACAACATGTAAAATTTATCATGGAAACCTTTCGAACGTCATACCACCAAAGTGTGGTAACTTCTTACGCAAAGTCTCATGCTGAACTACAAATAACCTTCCGAAAAGACGAATTTTTTGCAAAAATCTGACTTTCTAATCTATTAAATGCTTTTGCACCCAATATATCAAACATTTTTCTAAGTTATCTAGTGAAATTTCATCTGATACTGGGTATATCGTATCCGAATTGAAATTTAAGATTCTTAACAAACCGCCTGTCGCATAGATCAAAACCATGTCGCCTGAGGGTGCAGGTCGTAGATTATGCAAGGATCGAGTAAAATGGGATTTTGTTTCATACTATGCTCACAATTTAAAATATTTTCAAATAATTAAAAAATGTAGGTATGGTTGTCAAATGGAATGCCTTGATGGACTTGAAATTCTTTCGTCTATCATATTTGTGGGACAAATTAAAACTTTTTGGCGCGATACCAAAATTAGTTTTTGCCAGATTCGTTTAAAAAGTTGTGTGTTATCGAACGCAAGTCGATTTGGTATCTCGTGTATTTAGGTTTTTTGCCACGACGCAACTCTTAATTCTCGTCTTGATCAGAATTCTGATGAACAACGTCTTATGGAACTTGCAAAAACTCCGGAAACGGACTTGCTTCGGGTTCTCAAATGAGGCATCAGTGGCAAGTGTGACCAAATTCTTGCCAATAAATCTTTATATCAATCCTGAAAGAACAATTTCCAATGTCGAATCATCAAAGATGAATCATTCGAATTTCGTATCGTTGTCTACACCAGCGTTTCCCAAACTTTTTTGGCCACGGAACACTTACGCTTTTTATCTCACCTCGCGGAACACCAAAAATGAAAGGGTAAAATTGATAAAGAAAAATGATGTTATGCAGCGGTCCCAAAAGGTGCGCTACTACAGTACTACTGCAATACTAGTACAGTACTAGTAGAAAACTAACAAAATTGTATTCAACATACCTAAAATATGATGATAAAAGAAGTCTGACCTTGGTCAGACGAAACGTTACAGGAACATATTTGTATTAGTGTGCAGCAAGACTCTTGAATCATTTAGGATTGTTATCTCTACTCTTGCTACAGCATCCTTGCAATATATGCCTACGGATCCACCGGCACAAAAGCATAGAAGAAGGATAAGTAGTTAGTCTCGCAGAAACCAAAAATCAGCGAATATTTTGCTGTGTATCTGAATCAATAAATTCATTTTACCTTTCTTTGTCGTTTCTTTCTTTACATTCTATTACGTAGTGTTTGCCTCTAATGTTACCTAACAATGAAGTTAGAAGTACTTGGTGCAATTTTGCGAGCTGGAGTTTGTTTATCTGCTGAATCGAGTTTAGCGAACATGAGTGATTTTTTCAACATTTCCAAGTAAAACCAGGCAGAGCTTGAGAAAGAAGAGTTGACCATTTGCCTTTGACCGCTTTAGGCCGACCGTGACGCGATATTGAACGGTCGCCAGTTCACGATCCCGAGATAGCCATGGCGACCAATTTAGTCGTAATTTTGGTCTCTTTCCCACGGAACACTTGGAAGATGCTCGCGGAACACTAGTGTTCCGCGGAACACAGTTTGGGAAACGCTGGTCTACACCATCTCCAAGTATTTGACTTGTCATAAATAAATACAGTGGCAGGACGCGACAAGGATATCGGATCTCTTTACCATGCTCGTCTCTATGGACCTTTCCCCGAGCATCGACTTCCTTGTTTACTTCGTGACATTGACCAATCAACAAGATGCAAAAAGTGACGTAACAATGCTCCCTTTTCGCATTCGCTCAGACACTTTTCTCACTCAGACAGATTTTCAAGCGTGGTCGTAAACATTACCTCGTTTTCGCGTTTTTGAACTCTATTCGTTAGTTTTCAGTTGTGTTTCGGAAACTTAAATGTAAATCAGATATTTCAATGATCACTCTGTCTTCCTAGGAGTTTTTATTTAATTGCAGTAATAAAACTAGTGTAGAAATAGCTGTGATAGACTAGGCTAAAATTCTTTACCGGTACTTTTAAAAAAGCAGATTGTTGTATGCAATGAATCATAATGATGGTTTGAAACACATACCCATTTCACAGGCGCCAAATCGCAAAAGCACTTTAAAATAGCCCCTAAAACTTTGCAATGGTAAAGTATAGGAAGAATTTTTCGGGGGTCAAAGGTCGGGGAAAGGTCCATTCGCTCGAAATCACTGATACGTCCGTGCATAGAGCTTTTGCCACTTCAGAAAGCAACTAGCATTTCACAACTGCGGAGAGGACGTTTTTGGGCATATCACGGGTGCCCGACGTGCGCGTAAAGTTATAAACAAGTGGGCAATGCGAAAATGTATGGACACAAAAGCGTAAGCAAAAAATTTTACCGAAAATTCCTCCAAAATTCATATCTGGAACTGTGGGACAGATACCGGTACCATACCTTACAAGTATCGTTACCCGGGCTGTCCTAGCTGTTCCAGTCCCTTGACGATGATGGTTCATGCGTGCAGTTTCAACCTGAATCGAAGTATCAAATGATTCGAGTTACAGCTTTAGTATCGAAACTCTTACAGTGCCGGTAGTCTACGATTCTACGTTATCAAAAAATTTCCGGTGCGCAATTTTTAATTTTGAATAACGAATACAATAGAGCCCACATAAATATTTGAACGAATAAAAGTGATAGCTTTCTAGCGACAACGACAAAGTGATTTTTTTTCATAACAACAACAAGAAAAATAATAATAACAACATATCAAAAAAAACGATCTATAGGTGCACTTCGTCTCCAATAACCCGATGTTCAACGTTGTCCGCTGCAGGTAGATAACCGAAACAAGGAGTTGCGTTTTATCTTGGCGGCAACTAAACAATACAGGTCAAATGTCGGGGTGACCAAAGAAAGCAGTGATTTACCTTACCTTTTACAGTACCGGTATCGTTAAAAAACTTCCGACTTTTCAGTAGCAAGGGAGTAACACGAGGGAGGTCGAATTATCGCTACAAATAATTTGTATTAATTTTCAAGAGGTCATCACGCAATATTTCGAAGTTTAAAAACGAATCACATAGAGCCCACGGAAGGGTTTAAAATGAATTTAAGTATTAGCTCTCTATCTAACAGTATTCTTTCTAGTTAATGAGAAAGGCTATTTTTTTAAAATATAAAACAACGGGAAGAAAAATACCAACAAGAACAATAACATGATAACAAAACGATCCATAGGTCCATTTCGTGTCCAACAAAAGAACAAAGCTCAAAAGAATGGACACGAAAGCCAAAACGAAATATTTTACCCACAAAATCCGCATTCGAAACGAAGCTAAACCTATGGAGTGGCTACCGTACATGTGGGTCTAGTGTAGTTTATTACCACAAATACTTATATATAGTGGGTGTGGCCGTGGCGTAACGAATTTTGCATGATAAGTCATTCCTAACCCCCAATCGACTACGTCAATAAACTAGACACCAGTTGCCCAACGTACCCTTACGAAAACATTTCCATTGAGCGAGCACCGTAGGATTCGTATTTCACTCTGAAATTTTGTGTAATAACTTCATCAAAATTAAAAATTGCGCACCGTATGGCAGTGTCGCGATCGCATATCAGCGACCACGTGATAAGTGAAGTCAAGAGTTTTTTGATAAGGTAGACTACTGGTACTGTAATAGTTTTGATACTACTTCGTTTTGGCGTTCGTGTCGATTTATTTAAGTATCGCTCCCCTGTTATCTTTATAACGCGACACACGATTATCGAAGAAAGCACAAGAGAAAACCAAATATAGGTGATAAACTAGACTAAATATTTTTAGCGTAAATCGCCTGGCCAATATTTACCTCCAAAGTCAAGACAGTCGATGTTTGGGAAACGTCAGTGGAAAAGTATACGTATCATTTTTCTTGAGCCAAGGATTAAGTATAAAAACCGGAGACATTTAATGCCTTATCCAGATTTTTCAAAGTCACAATGTGCAAAATCTTGAAAATATTTCCCGTGTGTGCTAACATAAATTTTCGAGGTGCATTTCCACTTGCAGCAACACTTTGCAAAACAACAGACACGAAATAGTACAATTTTATTTTGACGCTGCAATCAGCATTACAGGCGATATAGTAATTGAGAAAATAATAAAACGCACGCACACGCACATACGGTACAGCCACAGAGATACTAACTCATATTACAGACATAAAATTCTCATTAAGGCGTGCGAAATATAGGCGCAGGGTGACAAATTAGGGTAAGTGAGTCCACTGGTGGCCCTCGCAATAACTTCTAATCGTAAAAAAAATACTAATCACGGCTCGCTAACGACGGTCAACACATATTTCATCACGCCCATTTTTCCCTTTTTTTCAAAAGTGCCTGAATAAGTGCCTAATTCGTCGTGCCTACCATTACCAACTTGGCAGTCATATGTGATGATCAAGTGCGTGGGACTCCTCCAATACTACGTTTTAAACCTCGTTATTGGGTTTACTCATTGCACATTACATGTTCAACATATAATTTGACCATTTTTAAATAATTCATTAAAGTTATTCCACCAATTTATTTCCGAGGTGCCTAATTTTCCAGTGTCTACTTTTAGTTGGTCCCGGAATCTTACTCCAACCACCCAACATACGAGTCGCAGTTCTCACGACTTCATGGCAGCTCTTGCCACGAACGAACCGCGGCGTCTCTTGCCATGTTTTTATGGCGCTATTCAGTAATCAGTATTACCGGTATATTCACAAAGTCATGTACCAGATTTTAGTTCATCATGCAGAATTATATCTACTTAAACCTGAAACCTAACCCCAAACTCATCAAAACTGTATCCATAAGAAAAATGTTCCAACTTACCCAATATGATCATTTCCCCGATCTTTGACCCCCTAAAAGTTCTTCCTATACTCTACCATTGCAAAAATTTTGGGGCTATTTTTTAAGTGGTTTTGCGAATTGGCGTCTTTAAAATGGGGTATGTGTGTTCAAACCATCATTATGATTCATCGCATACAACAATCTGTTTTTTAAAGGGACCTGTAAAGAATTTTAGCCTAGTCCATCACAGCTATTTCTACACTAATTTTACTGCAATTATTACTGCAATTAAATTAAAACGCCTAGGAAGACAGAGTGATTATTGAATTATCTGATTTACATTTAAGTTTCCGAAACACATCTGTCTAA